CTGAAAACTCTGAGAGTTCAGATTTCTAACAGGTGTGTCCTTCAATCACCAGGCCACTGGTTCTCAACCCTGGTTGCACATGGAAATCACGTTGGAGACCTGTTAAAAATTACTGATGCTTGGACATCCATCGGCAAAAACAAAGCAACAAAACTCTAGACCTAAATCCCACATCTTATACAAAAATTGACTCAAAATGGATCAACAGATTTCAATGTAAAATGTCAAACTATAAACTTGTAGAAGAAAACATAGGGGAAGAGCTTCAGGATCTAGGGCTAGGCAGCAAGTTCTTAGACTTTATGCCGTAAGCACCATCCATAAAGGGAAAAATGGATAAACTGGACTCATGAAAATTAAAAGCTTTTGTTCTGCGAAAGCCCACTGAAGAAGACAAACTACAGACTGGGAGAAAATATTGGCAAACCGCATATCTATCTAGACTACCCAGAGAAGACTCAAACTCAACAGTAAAAATACAAATCATCTAATGAGAATATGGGCAAAAGACATGAACAGATATTTCACTGAAGGAGGATACAGAGACGGCAAATCAGCACATGAAAAGACACCCAACATCATCAGCCATTAGCGAAAGGCATAAAACCACTGCACTGGAATCTGCAATGATCTCAATACAGATTTCAAATTTAAAAAGTACTACCACCCCCCTTCCCATCCTCCCACTCCTCTAGACTCTGATTTAAGTGGTCTAGAGTATGGCGTGGGCATTGAGAGTTTAAAATCTCCCCTTGTGATTTTAACGTGTGGCTAAGGGTAAGGACAATTCTTCGGGGATGAAGAATGTAGCTTAACAGGAATTGATAGAATAGAGCCTGAAGGGAGGTGAGGGAAGGCACTGACTTGGAGCTTTCTGACTGAGGGTTATCTTCACACTGAGTCCCCGAATAAGAGAACGCGGCTTGTTCTCAGGATGTTTTATGTTCCAGCATTAATGTCTAGCCAGAGACACAGCTATTTCTAGCCACTGGAAAGAACAGGATTTCGGCAAACTGACCAGGTGGGATTAAATTGTGATGCCTTCTTATATTCTCTCACCTTCTGAAACCGAGCGGGGCCCTGTGAGGCTCCCAGGCATGGAGGCCTCTTTTTGGTCCCCCTTTCTTGTAGGCAAGACACCAGCCTCCATGACCTTCCCTGAGTTCCAAAGGGCAGATGTGAACAGTTGCTAATCAAGGGATGAGCAGCCAGGAAAACACCTGAGGCGAGAGTAAAGGGGCCTGAGAAGCTCATCAAGCTTAGGAGACCCACCACCTGAGACCCTGCACACACCCTCATCTTGTCAGCAACCCCACCCTTGGGAAGCATTGCTATAAAACTCCTCCTCAAATCCTCCCGGGTTGGGACACATAGTTTTTCGAGGCAGGAGCCTGCTGTGTCCCCCTTTGCCTGGCAAAGCAATAAAGCCATCCTTTACTACTTCACCCAAACCTCTGTCTCCAAGATTCGATGTGGCACCGGTGTACAGAGAGGCTGTACTCTTTGGCACGAAGATTATTTTGAGAGACAGCAGGCACAGCAGAAGTTCTGAAGACAGAGTAGAAGTTACCTTCTTGTAAGGGGCATTTACATTTACAAGGGAAGTCTCTATTTGTAAGGGGGTCTCCCTCTGTCTACCAGGAAGAGAAAGATGACTAAATCACCAGAAACTCATCAATGGAGAAGGCACTGCCTTAGTAACAAAACTTACCCTTGTTTACCGTGCTTTTCCTGGTCACCTCCCATAACTGGACTCCCTCTCCCGCCACTTTTCTTTTGTCTTTAGCGGAAGGTGGTATTTAAGGTGGTGACTTAGGCCATCTCGAGGCCACCTCAAGGAGTTACTCATCTTCCTTGGGTATTTCCCATGTATACATGAGGTATACATGTCAATAAACTTCTCTTGGTATTTCTCTTGTTAATCTTTTATCACAGGGTCTCAGCTAAGAACTCGGAAGGGTTGAGGGAAATTATTTTTCCTCCCCTACAGCAAGGAAATTTGAGGATCACTGTTTTAGGCCACTGGCTCTCAACCTTGCCTGCAAGTTGGAATGACTTATGGGACCTTTTCAGTATCCTGACGCCTGATAGCCAGAGACCCTGATTTAATTGCTCTGGGGTGCGGTCAGGTCAGCTGGAGTTTTAAAGCTCCCCGAGGGCTTCTAACATGGAGTCAAGATCGAAAACCACTAGTTTAGGTATTCATCTTCGCTTATCCTCAACAACGACATCGTTACAGAGCAGGACCTTGTGGAGCTCCTGGGCACGAAAGCCCTTCCGTGTCCCCCATTTCTCGATTACACGCAATAGGCTTCATTCAGCCCCCCTGACCTTCCCTGAGCTCCTAAGGGCAGGTTCAAACAGATGCTAATTAGGGAAGGGAGGGGATGCGGAGACAAAGGAGAAGCAGTCAAAAGAAACAGCAGTGCCGCCTTGGGGCAGGGTCCTGGTTCCCCTCAAGGGACACACATAACAATATCTTTGAGCTGTTTTGCAGATACTGAAATCCCGCCAGGTGGGAGAAGTTAACTGCATGCTGCCCACAAGCACGTAGACCCCAGACCAGCTGGAACCAGAAGGTTGATGATGCTGACGCCCACTTACCTCCCCACCAGCCAATCAGAAGAACGTCCACGAGCTGATCACGCCCTCTGTGAACCATTACTATCAAACTCCTCCTCCTACTACCCCCTCCAGGTCGGGACACACAGTTTTGAGGGCACGGGACCGCTGTGGCCCCCTTTGCCCGGCAAAGCCATAAAGCTATTCTTTTCTACTTCACCCAAAACTCTACCTCCAAGATTTAATTCGGTGTTGGGGTACAGAGGCTGGATTTGGCTTCAACATCAGCTGTGTTTTGGCACACAGGATTCAAGAGTGAATGCTTTCATAGGTAGGAGAAAACTTTACAGGCTGGGGGGCGGGAGAGAACCCTGTCTGTTTCTCCAAAATCACTGATTACTTTACCTGTTTTTAAGGCTGGGCAAGTTTTGCCACTTAGCCTCATTACCAGGGCATAGCACAATATCTCCTTTCCCTTTTGAAATGGATTCGCCTCTCCTGAGCTCACAAGACCCTTCCCAACCACCCATGCAATGGCCATGTAAATTGCCTAAGTCAGTGGTTCTCAATTTGCTGCGTTTTAGAATCTCCTGGAGACTTTTAAAAAATACCAATGCCTGGCCCCCACCCACAGATGGTCTGATGTAACTGGTCTGGGGTGCAACCTGGGCTTTGGGTTTTTGTTTTGTTTTGTTTTGTTTTGCCGTGCCGCAAGGCTTGTGGGATCTTCGTTCCCCAACCAGGGATTGAACCCAGGCCCTCGACAGTGGGAACGTGGAGTCCTAACCACTGGACCGCCAGGGAATTCCCAGGGCCTTGGGATTTTTAAGAGTCTCCACGGATCCTAAGGTTCAGCTAAGTTTGAAAACAACTGATCCAACTGAGATTTGATTTAGTGTTGGGAAACTGACTTTGCACCAAAAGATCCTACCAAAAATGGTCAACAAGGTAAGCAGGCATGCAGAATGTGTCGTATGTTCAAGCTAAGGACTCCTAAACAATGTGGTGAAGCGTTCATAAACGCAACAGAGAATGCTTGTAGGTGAATCATTCCTGGGAACACCGTATTCCAAATCTAAATCGCCCCCTCCCACAGCTAAGAGCCCTACAGTGTATCAGAGTCTCTGGCATGATCTATGCAGAGTTCACGTGCATGCCCAGTTCTACAGATGTGAAGGCAAAGTAGTTCTTCTGCAAAACAGTGACTCTCAACTCATCAACTCTCTACCTCCTGGTGGGCCAATGTTATACCAACATCAAATGCAAATTAAAGATAAACTAATTTAAGTCCTAACTGCCTCTACCTCATCTCCCGAGGGGGGCTGGTGTTTGTGATCACACCTCCAAAGCGGTGTGCCACCTGCGGACTGTCATTTTCATCAGACGTGCCTAATGACACAGCTTCATTTTGAAGCTATCCGCCGGCATTCACTCCTAGGTTCCACAGTAGTGGAAGACATTTTCCCCAGTTAAAATATCCTCTCTGCCCCTTTTCAGAGGACACTTTCAGTTTCCAGATGAGCATCCGAGAGGAGGTGCCACCCCTGGCAGCAATCTTTAGGGAGATTTGGAAGAGAAGTTTAACTAAATGTCATAAGAGAGAATCGGGTGTTTTGCACTGTGGTTAAAAGTCCACCCTCTGCCTGCAAGGGATGAATGCCAGAAGATGAGTCACACCGAGTGGGATGTGAATGTGAATAGCAAGGAACAGCATGTAACAGGGGCCTTCTGAACCATGGCTAAAGGCAGACAAGTGGGATGAAATCTTGCTGCCTCAGGTTTTCTTGGGCTGAGCGATCTGGAAGCAAACACACAGAACATCTGGGAGACACTGTGGTGGTTCCGCCCAGCTGAGCCCCCTGGAAGCTCTCACCACATGCAGATGGAGATGTGGACTCGAGAAAAATGCGGGTAAGAAGGAAAGTGTTCCTTCTAAACTTCCCACTGGTTTGACATGGTCCTCTTCCCACACAAAGGGCAGTCAGTCCTGGGGTAAACAGATGACTCAACCAGGGAACAGAATGACTCTGTTAGGTTCAGCCGGGAAGCTCAGGAGATTCTGCTGGCAAACCTGTGTCTCCAGGTTACAGCCAGAAATAGAGAGACGAGAAGCAATTGCATTTCATGAAGTCCACTGGCTTTTCCGTACTGAGTTTCAAATTCCAGTACAATTAAAAATCTATACAAGTGGTTCTCGCACTTCAGCGTGCATCAGAATCCCCTGGAGAGCCTGTTAAGATGCACCCCCAGTGTCTCAGTGTTTCTGGTTCTGCAGGTCTGTGCTAGAGCCTGAGAATTTGCATCTCTAACAAGCCCCCAGAAGATGCTGATGGCCCAGGGATCATACTCTGCGAGCCACTGCTCTGAGGACAACTCTGGGTATTTTTTAACCACAAAGGATGACTTACACATGACTCTGAGCGCTTACACCCAAGTACCTCTTTCTTTGTAGGTATCTGGGACCCCAGTAGGTCAAGTGAGCACAGGATTTGGAGTCACATGGAAGATGCTGACTGTGGATGCCCGTGATGTGACTGGTGCGACAGCAACTTCTGGTTTCATAAACAAAACAGCAGCTGACTGCAAAACAAGAAAAATAACATTAAAAAACTGCTGGGAGCATAACGGGAAATACCAAACCCCACATGCAGAATGCAGAGTGTGTGTGGGACTGGGGAAGGACTCAGAAGATGAAGGGCTGTTATTTTGTGGATGAGATGTTCATCTTTTATATGGAAGACAGAGCAGCCTTGAGGGATGCAGCAGGAGGGTTCTGGTTATTTATTTACTAATTTCATGATTATTGATGCCCGCAGGGTGCACAGGGTGGTGCTGAGTTACACATCTGAAAGAATATCATAGTTGGGAGGTTTGTGATGTTGGGATATGGTGCCAGTGGAAGTGGAGTTCATCTTCCCTGAAGATTTAAATTTGGGACTTGACCACTGTTTATTGGTCAGCCAGAGCTGGTTTTAGTCAGACTGGCCTAGATGCAGGAGAATGGATTTAATGATGTCTCAAGTGCTATTTCTTCTTTAGGTAAAGAAAGCATGTAATGGAAAGTCAGTGCTTCAAGGGGAAGCTATGCTATGTCTATAGCTCACTTTTCCCCATGATCTCATTCTGAGTCTATGAAAGCCATTTAACAACTCTGTAAGCTGGAGATAACTGAGAGCAAAACAATTATTGCCTATAGAAATGCAATGGAGGGTCCATCAACTTCCCTCCCCCACGGGAAGAAGGAAGAAGCTGGTTTGAGCTCTACCATTCAGCAATACCATTCTGATGCTCACCACCTGGAGTTAGGGTGGACTCAGGCTAAGGGCACGGTCCCCAACAAGACTGCCCTCGTTTCAGATGCCAGCTGCAAGTCTGGGGGTCCTCAAGCTACCAGCGCTTCTGACTAACTGGCTACAAATTCAGGGAGGCCCACTACTCCTTCATGTTTGAGAATTCATGAGAATGACTCATGGAACTCGGGAAACCTCTATACCCAAGATTACAGTTTTATGATAAAGGATACAAATGAGGACCAGTCAAATGAAGAGACATATAGGGTGAGGTCCGAGAGGGTCTCAAACACAGAGCTACTGTGTCCTCTTCCCGTGGAATCAGGGCATGTCATACTCAGCACATGTGTGTTCACTCACCAGGAAGCTCGCTGGAGCCTGGTGTCCTGAGTTTTTACTGGGGTCTCATGACATAGGCATGATTAATTGGATAACTGGCTACATGATTGGACTCAATATCCAGTCCCCCTCCTCTCCCTGAAGGTCCAGCTGACATCACCTGGCTCAAAGCCCCAACCCTCTAATCACCAGGTTGTGTAACAGGGAAGAGCCAATTCTGACTGCATATTGGATCTGTTTCTTTGACTGGAACCTTTGCTTCTCGTTGCTTTTGTTATTATAATCACTGTCTATAGCTGCAAGCATACATAATAGCCTGTCACAGGGAACCCTGCCCCTCTGCCTGCCTGTTAAACCAAAAGGCCTTTGTTCAACTCACACAGAGACATTTTGACCCTGCCCACCTGTGAATGGCTGCAGAAAAGAAAAAAACACATCCCCTCCTAGTTTGCAAGATAAACGGCCTTTTTACTTTACTTCCCCACCTCCTCCCCCTCTGTTCTATAAAAGAAACTGACGTCCAGACCCCAATAAGATGATTTTTGGGGGACCCTAGTCCGCCATCTTCTCGATCTGCCGGCTTTCCGAATAAAGTCGCTATTCCTTGTCTCAGCACCTCGTCTCTCCGTTTATTGGCCTGTCGTGCAGCGAGCAGAGCGAGCCTGGATTCGGTAACGGTTGGTCTAATCACATGAGCCGTCTCCTTAGCATAAACCCAGTTGTGGTCCAAGGACCCACCGTGAATAACAGATGCTTCTATCACTCAGGAAATTCCAAGGATTAAAATTTCCCTCCCAGGAACTATGGGGAGTCAGTCGCCATTTGCATATTCAGTTTAATATTCTTGATCCATAAACGTGTCTGTTTTTCAGATGGATGGTTTAAGTGGTTACAACATCACGGGGTTCCTTTGTTTTTAGTTTTAAAACTTAGGTATCTGTAGCGGGAGGATACTTGGAACTGATCTTGGATCACCCCACCATTCTGCGGTTAAGAACCCAAGGCCAAGAGATAAGTGACATGCCCTGGGGCCTCACAGCCAGGTGGAGCTGACCTCGGTGTTACCGAGACCAAGCTCGCTCTGCGCGCCACATGACAGGCCAATAAATCAGAGAGGAGGTGTTGAGACAAAGAAGACGACTTTATCCTGAAAGCCGGCAGACCGAGAAGATGGCAGACTACAGTCTCAAAATAACCGTCTTATCAGGGTTTGGATGCCAGTTTCTTTTATAGCAGAGAGGGGGAGGAGATGAGGAAGTAAAGTAAAAAGGCTATAAGATTTGCAAATATCCCCTGGAATAGCCAGCCTCGGGGAGGGGATGTGTTAATTTCTTCTTGCCTGTAGCCATTCACAGGTGGACAGGGTCCGGAGGTTTCCCTGAACAAAGGCACTCTGGTTTAACATTCAGGCAGAGGGGCAGGGTTCTCCGAGGCAGCCATTATGTATAGACAGTATCCTTTTAGTGAACCAAAGCAATGGGAAGCACAGGTTAAAGTAAAAGAAACAGATCCAACATGTAGTCAGATTTGTCTCTTCCCTGTTACACTGGGATCGGAATTTCTGCTTCCAGACTCAGACTCTAAGTTGTGTTCGTAGAAGGGAAAAATAATTTTCCCTCTGTCCTTCTAGGTATTGATTCTTGGCTGACAGCCCCGTAATAAACGACAGATTAACAGGATAAAAAGAAACAGCAGTTTAACAGCATGTATACACCTCCTGTATACATGGGAGAGACCCAGCCAAACTGAGTATCTCCCCCAAAGGGCCCAAGCCACCACTTTAAATACCATCTTCAGCTAAAGACAGAAGATGTCGGGTTGAGGGGAGTGGGTTAAGGGGAGGTTTTCAGGCAAAGCACCGTGAACAAGGGTAAAGCTGTAATGCAGATTTAAATTGATGCCTTCACCACTGATAGAGTTTCTAGAGATTTAAGAGTCACCTTCCTCTTCCTGGTACAGAGAGGGAGACACCTTAACAAATGGAGATTTCCCTTATAAACGTTAACGTCTCTAATAAAAGGGTAACTTCTACTCTGTTTTCAGAGCTTCTCCTGTGTCAGCTGTTTCTTAACAATGATCAGCTCAAAGTAATCCTTATGCCAAAGAGGCGTATTTGGGGGTGGCATATTCTGCTCTCCATGTTCCTCATAAACAAAGTGTTCCCGTCTCTACCCTTCCCCAGACTCCCTGAGGAGAGCACCGCCCAAGGCCTGATGTACTCCAGTTAGGAACTCTCTGCTTGTCCTGTCTGACTCTTCCTTTAGATCAAGAACTTGTAACCGAGCAGGACCCCATGGGGGCCTTCCCCCACGTCCTCTGCCTTAGCTCCTCTCTGAAGTACCTAGAAAATAGCATTTGATGCACATTCCCTGAGTTGTTTTGCAGATGTAAAAGAACCCTCCCCCTCTCCAACAAATGGAAGAACTACTTGACGACCAGGAGCACAGAGCCCCAGGCCTCCCGGAGCCTAAGGACTGATAATGTTAACCCCTGTGACACCACCCTGCTACTGCACCATCAGCCAATCAGAGAACTGTGCACAAGCTGATCACAGACCCTGCGACACCACCCCTCACCTGGCTTTTAAAAGTGCTTTGCCGAAACCCTTCGGGGAGCTCAGGGCTTTTTAGGGCATAAGTCACCTGTCTCCTTGCAATAAACCTCTCTCTGCTCCAAACTCCTACGTTTCAGTTTGTTTGGCGTCACTGTGTCTCTCGGACGCACGTTAACAAACTCCTTGGGGGTGAGTGTGGGACCTCGTCCCAATTGGCATCTACATTACCTAAGACAATTGCACTGGCACGTGGAATGTACTTAAAACTGTTTACAAATACATAAATAATACTTAATACAAAAGCACATAAGTGAATAATAGCAAACAATAATGATTAACATTCATAGGACATTGGCTATCTGCATGCAAATAGCTTTCCTTGCACTAACACATTTAAAACTCACATCAACTCCACAGATTAGGTACCATTATTATTATCGCTACTTTACAGTTGAGAAAACTGGTTCACAAAGTTTGAAAAACTTACGGGAGACGGAAGATGGCAGAGCATGGTCTGTTTGCTTCTCGAGTTGAACTCAACCTCTAGCCCAGCAGTTCTCAAACTTGAGTGTTCATCAGGGTCAGCTGGAGGGCTTGTTAAAACACCTGGGGTGGGTTGTGGAATTTACATTTCTAGCAAGTTCTCAAGGGATAATGACGATGCAGGCTTAGAGTCCACAGGTGAGCTACTGCTCTAGGCTTTGCCCGCCAACCCTGAATAAAAATAAACACAAGGCAACACAATCTAAGAAGAAATGCAGGCCAAGTTTTATACACAGCGAGCGATCTTCTTGTACATTTTACATTTTTCCCAAGCAGACAGGAGCGACCCAGGTTTACTCTTTCATTGTTTTTTAAGCATATGATGGGACTGGGGCGGAGCGTGAAATTAAAGGAAGGGATGGCTTCTAGTGTTATTAGGATCTTTCAAGAAATGGGAAAAATGCCAGTAACCTATTTCTGTGCAGATTTCAAACCTGAAATACAGGACTGCCTTCAAATCAGAACATTATATCAATTATGTGTTCTGAGAAAATGATACAGAGGAACAGAAAAAAATTTGAAACTCTTTTTCTTCTATCCAAGCCTGTGCCAAACAGGAAGAAGGTGCTGGTGGCGGTCGTGGGTACCTGCAGTGGCCTTTAAGGGAAAAAATAGATATTGTTTATCAGCCCAAGCCTTTTGTAACATAGCCCCCAGCTGTGACATCGTGGTCAGCTGCCGCTCTGCTGACCACGGTCTACACAATACCCCTAGTCTTTTTCAGTTTCAGGTGAATGGATCTGGACTGTTGGATTAGCTATCAGACACGCACTGGAACAATTCTTTAAACAAGCGCCCACACTGACCAAGGAGGAATCTTTGGAGAGGAAGAGTGGGCCGTTTAAAGTGGTGGTTCTCGAACTTCACTGCAAAATGGCATCACTTGGGAAGCTTTTATAAATCCAGAGCCCGGGCCCTAGCCCAGACCTATTACAATATAATCTCTGCAGGTGGATTCAAGCATTAGCTTTTTTTTTTTTTTTTTTTTTTTTTTTTTGCGGTATGCGGGCCTCTCACTGTTGTGGCCTCTCCCGTTGCGGAGCACAGGCTCCGGACGCGCAGGCTCAGCGGCCATGGCTCACGGGCCCAGCCGCTCCGCGGCATGTGGGATCTTCCCGGACCAGGGCACGAACCCGTGTCCCCTGCATCGGCAGGCGGACTCTCAACCACTGCGCCACCAGGGAAGCCCAAGCATTAGCATTTTTGAAGCTGCCCAGGTGATGCCAATGTGCAACCAAGCTTAAGAGTGTCCTGAAGGGCACTTCTAACATTTTAAATTGCATAGGATTCCCCTGGGGATCTTGCTAAAATGCAGATTCCAACTTAGTAGGTCTGGGGTGGGGCCTGAGATTCTGCATTTCTAGCAAGCTCCTAGATGGAGCTGATGCCGCAATGTATCTCAAGTGCAAGAAAAGCAGCAAAATGACTGGCAAAGTTGTGCTCCATTGAATGCAAAGATCTCCTGTTGCTGAGACCCTCCTGCTTGCCTGGAGTCAGAGCAAACCCCAGATAATGTCAGGAGGATGTCTGCTGTTCAGCCCCATTGAGCGTGTTAATATCCTGTCTTTGGCGAGGAAGCAAGGAAACTCCAGAAACAGCTGAAATGCTGATTTCTCTTACCTAGCCTCACTGCATGAAATGCTCCGGATTTCCTGGTATAGAATATCGTGCCCCTCTGGATAGTGATGGATTCAATGAGCCCCTAGCAATCCTATGTTTAGCACTGCTCAGTGAAATCAGATTTCAGAGGACGTGATATTCTTCCACGTGATGTGCATCGGCCTAAGCCTTGCAAATGAATTTCTAAGTCGTCAGGCATTGCCCTTTCCCTCCACCACCAAAATTCTGTGAAATGTGTGATTTGCATTGGACATGTTATTCAGTGACATCCCCCCCCTTTCCTTCCCACACTAGCTGTTCACCAAATGCCATCATCTTCTTCCCTGCTGGTCTACCAATCACAGCCTCCTTTGCTCTTAGGTATGGTCATGTGGCTGGATTGTAGCCAATGGAATGTAAGTAGAAATAATGTGCGTGGCATGCAGACCAGCCCTATAAAAATCTCTCCCCATGTGATCTTCTAAGTGCTCTGCCCTCTGCCAACTTTGTGCAAATGAGTTCAGCAACTTGGAAGCCATGTGTTGCAGATGGCAGACCCACAAGATGGAAAGGGAGCTTCCTGCCGATTAGGAACGCTTCTTTTTGACTTTATGGAGAAATACATTTCTTCTGTGTTTGAATCATTCCACCTTTTGTAATTCTTTACAGCAGCTAGCCATATTTTAATTAGTATACCTTGCAACCAACACGGTCTACCTTCCATGGAGCAGAACTTGGGGATGTGGAGAGAGAACCATGGGTCACCCAGGTCACAGCATAGCCCCCATCCCATCCTAGAGAGCAAGGTATTTGTCGCAGGACTGGAAGAGGGTCTCTTCCTCCTTGTGGACCCCTCTTGCTCTGCCTCTCTGCTGCTAGACTGTTGCAATAGGGCTTGGGAGAGTCCCTCTACTAAGAGGAGAGTATGGGGAGCCAAAGAAGGAGCAAGGAGAAGCTGATTGCTTAGGTCTACTTCTTGTGTTGGTTTTCAGAATGAGAATGATGATACATGCACCAACAATGTCCACAGCAGCACTATTTACAAAAGCCAAGACATGGAAGCAACCTAAATGTCCATCAACAGAGGAACGGATAAAGAAGATGTGGTACAATATATACAATGGAATACTACTCAGCCATGAAAAAGAATGAAATAATGCCATTTGCAGCAACATGGATGGACCTAGAGATTAATCGCCACACTAAGTGAAGTCAGTCAGACAAAGACAAATATCATATGATATCTTTTATAGGTGGAATCTAAAAAAAATGATACAAATGAGCTTATTTACAAAATAGAAATAGACTCACAGACATAGAAAACAAGCTTACGGTTGACAAAGGGGAAAGGTGGGGGGATAAATTAGGAGTTTGGGATTAGCACATACAAACTACTATATATAAAATACATGAACAACAAGGTCCTACTGTACAGCACAGGGAACTACACTCACTCTCCTGTAATAACCTATAAGGGAAAAGAATCTGGAAAAGAATATCAATAATTAATATATATTAGTTAATAATATACTAATTTCAATTGATAGAATGATTATTAATTAATATATCATTTATTAATATATTAAGAATATGTTAGTAATATTATAACTATAATATAATTTATAATTATACAGCAAACAATAATTAATATTAATTATATAATTAACAAGCGGTGGTTAATAAATTATTAATAAATAATATTACTAGATAGTTAATGTTAATTATATAATTAACATATGGTTAATTAATATATATTTATATATTCTTTTTCAGATTCTTTTCCATATATTATATATTATATATATATATATACAACTGAATCACTTCACTGTACACTTGAAACTAATATGACATTACAAATCAACTATACTTCAATTAAAAAAAAAGAGGGCTTCCCTGGTGGCGCAGTGGTTGAGAGTCCGCCTGCCGATGCAGGGGACACGGGTTCGTGCCCCGGTCCGGGAAGATCCCGCGTGCCGCGGAGCAGCTGGGCCCGTGAGCCATGGCCACTGAGCCTGTGCTCCGCAACGGGAGAGGCCACAACAGTGAGAGGCCCGCGTACCGCCAAAAAATAAATAAATAAATAAAAATTTAAAAAAAGAATGAGAATAATGAAAAGACGATTCACAGACTGTCCAAGTAACCTCACCAGAGGAGACAAGGCAGGGATAATAACAGTGATGGTGATGATGATGATGACGAAGATAACTAACACTCCTAAGGGGTTATCACATGCCACCACTGTTATACAGTTTTACACAGATTGCCTCATTTACTCTCCACAACAACCCGATTATTAAGTACTATTAATATTCTCCTTTTGCAAGGGCAAAAACAGAGGCCCAGAGAAATGAACTTGACCGCTCTGCAACTGGCAGAGCCAAGAGCGAAGGCAGTCTCCCTCCAGATCTCAGGCTTGTATCCACTGAACTAGGCAGTTTCAGGGTCTGGGAGAGGAGATCCAACCACCAGTAGAAGGAAGGGGGGAGGGCAGAGAGAGAGAGACAGAGAGAGACAGAGACAGAGAGAGAGAGAGAGAGAGAGAGAGAGGTTTCTCTTCTCTCTCAGGAATGAAACTGCAGCTGAACAGTGCAGGGATCTGGCAGAATCAGGGAACCCCAACAACTGTGGAACCCTCACCACATGTGGCACAGTCATAAGAAGCAGCTCTCAGGGAGCTCACACCCGGCCAGCTACGTGGTCTATTTTTCACAACTGCTCCTGGCTGAGACCCAAAATAACACCTTCAAACATAACCTTATGGGAACCTTAAATGAATTAATGCATGCGGGCATCCGAAGAGGCTCATTTTCTTCTATGCCTGTTTCCTTACACTTATAACTTATCTGTATCCTCACAATTCTTGAATTTTAGTATCTTGTAAAAATTTAATTATACAGGCAAAAAGTGTATGCAATATATAAGTATCTTTGAGGATTATAAAATGTACATCTGTGTACCCACCACCAAGCTGAAGCTAGAAGACATTCCAGGATCTTTGAAGTACCTTCCCTAGTCTCATATTTTTACTCCCCCACCCCCAAAAGGTATTCAAAATTATTTCAGTCATTCCCTTGCTTTCTTTTTTGCCGTACTCCAGGGTTCCTCAGTAGCAGCACTATAGGCATTTTTGATGGGATAATCTTTTGTTGTGGGGCGCTGGCCTATGCTGTTATGAGTTGAATTACACCTCCCCAAGGATATACTGAAGTCCTAACTCCCAGTACCTCAAATGCGACCTTGTTTGAAAATAGGGTGGTAGTAGATGTAATTAGTTAAGATGAGATTATACTGGAGTAGGGTGGGTCTTTAATCCAGTATGACTGGTGTCATATAACTCTACATACATGGAATCATACGTGTGTTCTTCTGTGACTTGCTGCTTTTTTGATCAGTGTTATGTGTCTGAGATTTACCCAGGCTGGTGCATGGAGCTGTCTATAGTGTATTCATTTTCTCTGCTGTATAGTATTCCACAGCATCAGTATGCCTGGTTCCCCATTCCTTCCATCTGGGGAAAAGGTGGAGACAGGGAAGTTTCTGAGCTCTCTCCTC